CTCTCTGTAGTTCTGGCTATCTTAGAACTAGCTCTGTAGACCAGGCTGGCTTCGAACTCACAAAGATCCACCTGCCTCTGCTGGGATTAAAGGCATGAGTCACTACTGCCTGGCAGCGCTTAAATATTTTTTTAAAAATTTTATCATTGTATATACATGATGTGTGTGTGTGTGTTGGTGGGCACACATGCCATGATGTGGAGCTCAGAGGACAATGGGTGGATTGTTCTCTTTTTCCTCCTTTAAGGCATGTGCCTCCAGGGATGGAACTCAGGTTGCCAGATTTGCATTAGCCCTACCAGCTGGGCCAGCCTAGAAAAAGTACTTTAAAGCTCCTCAGAAACACCAAAATAATCTTTTTTCTAAAGATTTTTTTATTTTACTTAATGTGTGTGTGTACAGGTGCGCATGTGTGCCATGTGTTTGTGCAGGTGTCTGAAGAGCCCAGAGACAGCATTGGATTTCCCGAAGCTGGAGTCATAGGCAGTTTATGAGCTGCCTGATCAGAAGGCTGGGATCCAGACTTAGGTTCTCTGGAAGTTAACTGCCGTGCCACCTCTCCAGCCCTAGATGTAAAAGTCTACTTTAAAAGCTTTCTAAGGCGCTGGCAAAATGGTTCAACAGGTAAGCAGTGCTTGCAGCCAGGACTGACAATCGCATTTTGATCCCTGGAACCCACACAGCAGAGGGAGAGAACCAGCTCCCCTAAGATGTCCTTTTAAGTCCACGTATGCCCTGTGCCATGTGTGTATACACACATGTACATGCACACAGATAATAAGTGCAAAATCTTACAGAGAACAAGAACAGCTCACAAACAACGGCAAACACCACTGAGTGCCTACAGCTGGAGCTCAGTGGCAGAGCATTTACCAACTGAGGATGTGCAGGACCCAGGGTTCGGTCTCAGGCACTGGAGAAGAAATGACTCCCCTTCAACCGGACCCAGCAACTTCGAGGACAGCTGCAGCACTCACCTGTGATAGGTGCCGGATGCTTCCGAGCAGATCACCATTTCTCTTCTTCTCCCACATTCACACTGTAACTCTACCTGAAATATCAGTGAGCGCGGCGTGACTCTTCCCACAAGAGAACGGTGGGGGACTCGGGCAGGCTTCACTGCTAAAGCCCTTAACTAATGACGCCAGACGGCGACCAGCCGGGCCGGCTTCTCTAACTACCACACATGCGGACTGGCGGCATAGCAATGGACGTGCTAGGAGGCACATGTCCTGTCATAGCGCCCGTCTGCAAAGTACGTCTCTTATTCCCAGCTGAAAGGGCAAACCTAGAACGAAGCTTGTAACACTGAATCAGGGGTACCCACTTGACAAAGGTCCAACCAAGGTCCAGACGACCCCTGCTTTCTTTGGGGTGGCCCTTCCTGACCCCTCAACCAAACCAAATCTCCCACTTACCTTCCATGCAGGTATAATTACTCCTCTATGACACCAGAGTCCTAATCACCCGAGACATCACTTAGCTATTATCTGTCTGTCCTATCTTACTGTAAGGGCCCACCTATCTCTCGTTCGCTGGGTATAGCGCCAGCACTTCACAGTGTCGCGCAGACTGCATGATTTCTCTGGGTGCACAGACAGGGGCCACTGCAGGTCAAGTCTGGACTCACTAGTAGCTGAGTCAACACTTACCTTGGCTTTACAAGCTGTCACAGGGCAGGGTGAACTGGGGTGGCAGGGTGCCATACATGGGTGGCCACAGTTAGCTCTGGGGGTGGTACAGGGCTGCTTGCAGGCCTCGTCCACAAGACATTCTCCTCTGTGACAGAGTCTTTGACATTTGTGCATCCCGCAGGGTAGCATGGCACTACAGGGTAATCCGCAAGAGATGTCAACCAGGTGACAGGGGATGTTGCTTCGTAACTAGGAGAGAGAGAAGCAGCCAGGTTCTCATCTTTGTGTGCGTTCAGGGTGAAGATTTACTCCTAGAATACTTGCTTTTGCTTTTTCTTTGGGGCAGCACTGAGGCTGAATTGGGAGCCTCACGCACGCTAGGCCAACACTGACGCATGAGCTATGTTTACTCTTCAGAAAATGAGCCGTGGGTTTGTTTTGACATGTTAACTCAGTGTGTGAGCCAGTATCCACGCAGAGGCCAAGGAACATTTGTAGGAGCTGGTTCTCCAGCTCCCAGCATGTGGGTCCCAGGGACTAAACTCAGGTCATCAGACTTGGTTTCAGGTGCCTTTACCTGCTGAACCATGTGGCTGGCCCTGTTTAGGAATTTTTGAGACAGGATCTCCAATAGCCCAGGCTGGCCTCAAATTATACAGTCACAGGTGACCTTGGATTCCTGATTATAGGATTCTATGTATGTGCCATAGTGCCTGGCTCAAAAAAGTCTTTTTTTTTTTTTTTTTGAGGCAGGGTCTTACTATGTAGATGAAGTTGGAGTCAAAGCACAGAGATCCACCTGCCTCTTCTAAATACTCAATTCAAGTTGGGTACCACCACACACAGTCATAAATATTAAAAACAAAAACCTGAAAAGAAATCTCCTTGAACTGAAAACAGATTTTTGTTTGTTTTCGAGACAGAGTTTTCTCTGTATTACAATTCTGGCTGTCCTGGAACTTGCTCTGTAGACCAGGCTGGCCTCAAACTCAGGGATCTACTTGCCTCTGCCTCCAGTGTTGGGATTAAAGGTGTGCACCTCCACCGCCTGGCAACAGTTAAAGATTTTCAAAGTCCAAGTGTTCAAGTGAGTAGGAAAGAAAAACAAAAGGGAACTTTAAGGATAAGGTCGTGGCACTAGCCACCTGTGACCCAACAAACTTCTTAATAAATGGGTAATAAACAGAAAAGACCAGGTAACTAGGGAATCCTTTTGAAATGCTGTAACCATGATGGTGGTGCATGTGTACTGTCCTAGCACTCAAGAGGCTGAGGGAGGATGATTGAGTCTCAAGTCAGCCTGAGAGCAAGACCCTGTCGTTATTAACATCCCACCTTTCCCTCCCTCCCCCAGAATCCCTATGGCAGATGAGGATGAGATGATACTGTCACCCAGTCTCG